GGATTTCTAGCGTTGTAAATCCGCAGCCATAACGCTGTGTTACTGTGGGCAGATTTGTAAGAGCTGCGAGATAAATTTTACCAATATAATTACTTATTACTGGATTGTTAATACTAACTAAGTCATCAATGTATCTTTTGGTTAAGGAAAATAATTCCAGATTTGTAAAATTATTTTTAAATTTACTTTCATGATAATAAAGATATAAATTATCAACACAACTTGAATAATTAGACCCCCCACTATTTGTTTATAAATGTACTTATCAAAATGAATGTACTTATTGTATAAGCAAAAAGTCAGTATATCACCAGTGCCAATTTAATAAGTGATATAGTCGTAAATAACGTAGTGAAATCGTATGTTTGAATTGTATCTATTAATTGAGTTTTATTTAAATTGTCTAGGATTTTTAAAACAGTTTCATTATTTCTACTTATCCAGAAGTAATGTCTATTATTTATATTTCGTTGTATTTTAACATATCACTCATCAGTAATTTGCTAATTAGAATCGTATGTTGTTTCGATATAGTTTTACCGAACTGAAATAAAACGAAATTTAATGAAAGATTTATGTAATTTAGGTATTGCATGTAGATACGGTAATTTTGAATATAAATTTGTTTTAACATAAAATTTCTTATATCTTTCAACAAATTGTTAATAATATCCTCTTTAGACTTATTTTCTAATTTAAAATTCTGTGTATTATATATATTTATCCCATCGGTTACAATTTGTGAATGATAAAAAAGTTTACAGACAAAGCCAAAATTACAATTGGCTTTATCGATCGGCACAATAATATATTTCTCCTGTATTTTACGGATTTTAGTTTTTAAATTGAAATCATGTTAAATCTATTGTTAAATCCATTTAAATTAATATGCATATTAATACATATAATAATATGGTTATCCAGTTGAAAGATCCTTTAAGCTTTTTAATTTTATGGAAAAACTCTTGTAATAAAGTTTAGATCCTCCGATTTTTAAATTACGAATGTACAAAGTTCCAGACGAAATTAGATCTTTTAACATTTTATAAGCTCTGGTGCCATCTAGTGGTCGATTTTTTATAATTGTGAAAACGGTCTATATTTAATGCAGATAAACAAATTCAATCAAACAGTACAAAAAAAACGATCGTGATAGGTTCATGGAGATCTTTGTTTCTAAGTTGAACAATAATATTGTTTGGTAAATTTCATGTTCTTAGCTCAATCCATTCTTCAGTTTTATTCACTATAAAATCGTACCATAATAATGCAAGTGTGGGATCTGTAACAATTTTTTTAAGTTAAAAGACAAGTTTCCTTTTGCCATATGTAAGCTAAGTGCCTATGTGTTATTAAAATGATTTAAGCTATTTTCAAGTTATTAAACGTCAACTTTTGATATTCTCCCACTATAACGCCCCCTGAAGATAGTTATATGGTTGCATTGATTTGTGTGAACTTGTGTCAATCCAAGTGCAAAACTTATAATTAATCACATAGTTGTTTTCAAACTGATCACAACAGTAAAACTTTAATGTTAAACTACACCTTGAACCACGACTTTTAACTTTGCTGTGTTTTAGAATTCGGGTAAATAAGAGCCAGTAACTAACATTGTTTTCAACTTTTAGCAACAGTGAAACAGATGCTATAGCATTGGTAAACTCGTGATTTGTTTTTCGTTTAACCCTAGAACGCCAACATGGGGTCACTATGACCCTAACTACCTGCCCGGCATGGTCAGGTGATTAGGGCGCTCGACTTGCAATCTGCGGGTCGCGAGTTCGAATCCCAGTCACACAAAACATGCTCGCCCTTTCAGCCGTGGGGGATTATAATGTGACGGTTAATCCCACTATTCGTTGGTAAAAGAGTAGCCCAAAAGTTCGCAGTGAGTGGTGATGACTAGCTGCCTTCCCTCCAGCCTTACACCCCTAATTTAGGGACGGCTAGCGCAGATAGCCCTCGTGTAGCTTTGCGCGAACTTCATAACAAACAAACCAAACCAATTTAATAATTGAAAACTTAATGCTGGCATTCTAGGGTTAAGCGTCCCCGCAGTGTTTGAAATTTGTGAAAAATCAAGTCGCTTTCCCCGTTATTTTTATATTGATAATTTTATCTTCTAATTTATTAAACGTTTGGTTTTGTCGATGTAAATTACATTTAAAGAGAGGAAGATAAATAACTCAATAGTGTTCAGAAGTTAATTAGTCTTTAAGATACTTACGAAAATATTTTTATTTCCGTAGAAATGTAAAAAATAAATGAATGGAAGAAACTGAAAATGAAGTAAAGCTTTCAGTACATATCATTATTATAATCACTTTATTGCATTTCTTTTAGTTCACAGTGGAGTGTTTAATACACTAGGATTTTGAGCAGTGAAAAAAAATTAAAAAAAAATTGGCCAATGCTTTTTGTTTTCATAAATACAGAAAGTGCTAGCAAATAACACCAAGTCGTCTGATATATGGAATATTTCACGCTCCAACTTGCTAATTATTTGGATTATGTACAAACTTTCTCTGACTGAAACTGATGTTGAGCAAAATATTTGTTTCACGAATAAACAAATAAGATGCGAACTTAAATAACCGAGGACAGCAAAGTTGTGTAAAGAGAATAACTTAAAAGATTTACAAACACGTAACGCATAACTGTTGAAATTTATATGCGAATTTTCTATTTGAAAAACACCACCACAAAAAAAAAACAAAAAAAAACGCAAGCTTGATAAAAATGGTAGTCAACAATATGACAATACAATTATTTTTTTTTTATCAAGTTGCTTGAGAATGAATCATTGCATATTATTATTTACAAATTTGATCGAAAATATAACATGAACTCCGAAAATCACCCACATTTTGAAATATATTTTTATTTATGAAATGTACACTCTCTAATCTAGACGTTGGCTATATCTTACATAGTTGCTTGGAAACGACCTTCATTTAAAATTGGATTATTTTAATCACTTGGTATTTCAGTAGATAAATTCAATTTATTATTATTATTTATTCTTAAATCGAAACAAATATATGCTGAATAATACTACACATGATTAATGAATAATTTAATCGCACATTGAAAGTAACCAGTGGTTAATCCAAACATATATGATTTTATTTCTGACATTTGGAAGTAACAGATATTTTAATGCCAAGTTTTGCTTTATATTAATAACCACATAATATATATTTGTTTGTGTGTTCTTTTATATTACTTGCACGAAAGGTATTAGTTCTTGTGCTAAAGTTCAGGAAAGAGAAATTAGGTTTTACGTTATAGTTACCGAAAACAAATATTAGGTCAATAATAATAATAATAATAATAAAAACACGCTTTATTGCTTTTGAAATAACACGCCTTTTCTCACAGGAACTTAAAATTATATATAAGACTTGTATTTTGATATTTACTTATTGAATACTTACATTTTCACCGAGAGAATCAACAATCTGTATTAGTTTAAGAATTATTAAGGTCTTGCTGTATGGTACACTTACTCGAGAAAAAGACAATATCCGACTTAAAATATTTTAATTTTATAGCTATAAATAAACAAACACTACGGTTTTGACTTATTGTTTAATCAATAACTCACACATAACGTCCTTCTTGTCACATGCCACAACAGTATTTCTGAATTTACTGTCCTTAAAACATTTTCCTTCAAGAAAAGACAAGTTAATAAATTCCAAAATATTTTTTTGTTTTTCTTAGTTAACTCGGTAATACCAGCCTTCTGTTTTTCATGTTAGTATGCTCAACCAGTATTCTAAATATATAAACAAAACCTTCACAAGTTTTAATAAACATATATATATATATATTATAATGAAATAGAAAGGATAGTAACGAATTAAACTTGGTAAACATTTTTCACTATTCTACACTGAAGCATAGTTATATGCAATCGTCCAATCAGAATGTGGAGTGAGAGACATTGTTATTCTTACCTGTACGTCCCATTATATATTCTCCTTCTCTCTCTCTTTCTCTTTTAAAAAATAAAAATAAAATTAAAGAAGGAGAAGCCAATTATTACATATTAAAGTCCCGTTCAAAATAAATTGTTTAACGACACTGTTCGCTTTATTGTTATAAAAGCATTCATATGATTATGTTCTGTTACTAAAAGAAAAACAAAATTAGATATTGTCTTGGTCGGCGCTAACGAATGTGTTTGTAGTTTAAGATGTTTATGTTTTAAAAATTACAAATTCAAGCAATATATATATATATATTGGAGTTGGTCTAAAACAATATTTGAAGGTAAGAAATAATCAAATCTAGCCCATTTATTTTTAGTTTCTTTTTGAATGACATTAAGTATATATTTTTTATTTTCTGTACAAGAAACTTGTAACTTGTAATTAAGCTTAATCATTCTGATCTCTTTAGACTTGTACGTAACCTGAAATTTTGCTTCTTACAGGACTGGAAAAGGTGTATAAGTTTTTCGCAAGATTAACCGTAAAATACTTTCATCTCGGATTTAAAAAAATGGTTAAAAGGCTTCCATATTTTAGTTAAAAGGCTTACATATTTTAGTTAAAAGGCTTAGATATTTTAGTTAAAAGGGCCGAATTAAAGACATGAAAACTAAGATAAAGAGATGCCTTACAGAAATAGAAATTTAAGTTTTTAAAGTAACAAATATCAAAGATCAATAAGTCAAATTACGACAACAAGGTGTACGAACAATTTAGTGTTTCCTTCATTTTTATATTATACAACAATTCTAGAAGAAGCTGCTCTAAGTATTCACTGTTTTATCAAATGATAACAAGATTGGCCAGTTTCGTACGTAGATTCCTATCTAAACGTATTATTAATACCAATATATCATAGCATTGGGCAGGCTTACCTGACAAACAAAACAAATAAAGTTAGGATATTAAGTTTGAGTTGAAAGCAATAAGGATACTAAAAAAAAGTTCATGGCTAATTTCAATCGTATGTTTTTAAAAACTGCTAGTAAAATATTCATATATCCAACAGAACAGTTCTACAAAAAAAAAGGATATATTTCTAGCAGAAACATCAAGGTGCTTAATTAGAACAGAGATAGGAAAAAAGAAATGCTTTGGAGAACTTAGGGAAAAATAGCTTAGAAAAGAAAAAGAAAAAACGTCTGTTTCGTACAACTTTCCATGTCAGTTGCTTTGTTGTAACGATAGTTTATGCGTGTTTACCAGCCGTTTTGAATTAAGGCAGTTATTTAAATGTACATGCAATTAAGCCTTCTTATAACAAAGAAAGAAATTTTATCTAAAAAAGCTATTACTTTGTTTGAAATAATACTTGCATATGACGACAGACGACTTTAGTACGTTGTGGCGTAATATATATAGCGATTATCTTCAAGTTGGCTTATCAAGACACAGACTTATAATGCAAATAGATAGATATCTATAGCAGTAACGTGTATTTGTTGTCGTTGTAAGTTTATACAGGTGTTTGACGCCATTCCTTTAATAACTTACATTTGTAAATAGGTGATAGATTAATAACCGGTGAACTTACCAATATTCTTTCAATATGGTATTTAATGGTCTTATTCTATATTATATTTATCTTACTATTTTACGAATACAATATATATGTATATAGACATGTATTGAATACAAATATTTTTTCATATTTCAAGTAGCTTTATTGTTTCTTCGTAATTCTTTTAGCGCTTATCTTTCATCTATAAAATTATAACATTGGACAAAATGAAACCTCCTTACCGCAGTATATTTTCCCCGTGTCCGTGCAGTAAAAATACTTATCATTATGTAATATTTTACAGGTACTTTAACACCACCATAGATGGCACTACATAACAACGAACCTCTCAACAATTATGAAGATTAATTATTGAAGCAATAAAATCTATATGTTAACTCCTACACTTTAGCTTCCTAACACTTATATGCTATCCTCTGATACAAGAAATAATTTTTTGAGCCGATTCAATACTCCTACATTATTTAATTATTTTTACTGACGTAATCCTGAAAGATTCGTATTTAAAAGTTTCATTCCAACAGAGTAAGAATATATATATACACACGCGTAATTCAACACTCTTATAATTGTTTAAACTGACTGCAACGTACATACGAAAAGATAGCTTGCCCTTTGTTGTTGTTTTTAATTAATGAAGCACAAACCTAAGGGAAAAAAAAACCGTGTTTTGTTTTTAAAAAATGTACAAATAATTTCCCACAAATGCTCTCATTGATTCATTCCTCTTTGTACAATCGTATATTCCTTACTTCTAAACAATACCGGTTTGTGATAAAAAAAAAGAAGCAATTATCCAGCCATTGACTTGAGTAATAACACAAAAACATATTTGCAAGGGTCCGATAAGAGGGCTAGAATCCGGGTTTCGATACCCGTGGTGGGCAGAGCACAGATAGCCCTTGTGTAGCTTTGTGCATAATTAAAAAAACAAACAAAGAAACCGATAAGAGGTGGCGATGGAATAACCTCTAGGTTCGACCCTTGCAAATATTTTTCTATGTTATTACGGATTTCTAACTTATTCCAGAAAACGCTGTAGTATATTAACATAAACCTAATATTACAATTTTCCAACGCAACTGACTGATTTATTTTCTACTACATACTTCAACAAAACAGAAACCAAATAAATACTTCTTTTATTCTCTAACCTGTATATATATATATCAAATTATAATATACGACAAAAAGAAAACGTCTTACCACAATATATATTTCCTTTTGTTTGTACAACGCAGAATGCATACAATTACCTTGTAACATTTTACAGGTACGTTACAACCACTATAGATGGAATCACGTAAAAAATGGCTTACTGAAGGTGCGTTTTATTACACTTACGTTGAAAAACTTACCTAGTGACTGTATTGTGATACTTAAAAGAGCACTAAAAAAAGGATAAAAAAAATCACCAAAAAGATATTGATATTTCAGCTTTGACAATGACTAATTGATTAAATTAAAACCGCGCCAGTCACTTTAGGTTTGAAATCACTCGAATATAAGTCGATCGTCAGACATATTGAAAACTGAGAAATTTTGTATCACGTGAATACCAAGCTGTTAAAACTTTCCACATCAATTAAGTTGTTAATAATTGGAGCATATTTTCTAAAGGTCGGTAAGTTGAACACACCCTATATCTTGTCTTTAATCGTCACACAACCCTAATTCCACTTATACGAGTCATCTAAAAAAGCTACAGAAATTTACAGGATTACATCTGAAAGTTCCAATCTCTAGACTGTTGTATAGAAACCTGAGAACCAAGAAAACTAACCAACGCCTTTTACCCAGCTCAACAATCATAGACTTAAGATGAATGGTGCCATCTGCTAAGATTTTTAATAACAATTAACATTAATACAATAATCGGGTATTACTCTGTAAAACAAATATTAGTAATAATGAATGATAAAGGCATGTCACACACAGACACACACACACACACACGAGTAAACTATTATAATAAAAGTGCCTTGATCCAGGAACTGCCAACAGATGGCGTAAGGGTTTGATGTATGGAATATTCCATATTCAATCACCTTATAACATTATTCATATAATGTACAAAGTTTCATCTCATGCTTTAATTTTGTATTGAAAGCAAGAGTGCAACAATGTGCCAAGTAATTTCGCTTGTTGCACACACACACACACACACGTCATACACTAGACACTAAAGTTTGACAGTTGAATGAGCAGACTGTACATTTTATTTACAGATTGCTAATTTGTGTAATTCCTAGAATCTACAGAAATCTAGGAGAAAGTTTTTTCCCCGTTCACACAATATTTTGGCACCAAAATGTGTAAGGAAAGGTCTTATAGACTATATATATATAGTCCATAAAATTTATCGTGATCTGAGTACACAGTCATTAATTGTTCAACAGAAGAGAAGGCACCCATACAGAAGAAACTGTGTTCTTTCGTAACAATACATAAAGAACACGTAGGCCTAACAAAAGTTCAGGAATTTTGAGTTATGTAGGCCATCTAGATAAAAACTATTAAACTACCACGTAGCTCTAACAATTCTTCACTTCATTTCACTTCAAGAATTATTCCTCTATCATAACGTATAATGTAAATTATACATTACGTTGACTTTCAAAACTATCCTTTTTAAACTGCCAATAATTTTACAAATAAAACTATTTTAATGCATAACAGTTAGATTTTTTTTTTCTCGGAAGCCCTTCTTAAAAGAAATCTAAAACCCACACAGCAATGTTTTGTTTGTCAATAATTAGTATGTTGATTCTTTCGTAGTAACTAAACAGTATTCCAGCCTTTTTTTTATTTATTTCAACTCTCTAAGACTAACAGAAGTGATATAATAATCAAAGATAACCTTGTCTGACGGCAGCTGGCGAAGTTGTGTAAATGTCTGCACAAAAACATATTAAAATCAATAAAGGCAACTTATTTTCAGAACAACTTTCTTCCTAAATTTAACTTCGTGTACCACATGTTGCTTATAATGTTTTAACACTTGCTGAATAAAGAACAGATAGCTGCATAGCTTGGTCATATGACTGCCCTGGCAGGTCAGAGGGCCACTTAACTAGTTCACCTTCTTTAAGATCCAACTGACACAGAAACTGACTTCAACAAATCTGTAGTTCAGATGGATGGATAGGAGCCACTTCATTACGATAACATTTTAAGTTTTATCTGACTTACCAAATGGTTTTGATGGCAAGATGTGGACCATGATAATGTAAGCGACACAGTTATGAATATGAACTGACACAGGTGTTTCAAAATTTAGTCATCATTCTGTGGTTGTTTGGATTTGACAAGTCTGTCTTCCAAGTATTTCTTTTATCCGACAGTTTTCCCCCTCTCTTACAGAAGATTTTTGTCTGATACGATTCCATTTTTAAACAGCTATGATTTACAGTAATGCACTTGTTGATGTTCGTTTAACAATGATCTGTCCTAGTTAAAATGCACCAGTGAGTGACGTCATAGAATGCCACTTGAAAGCACAACTGTGCAATTAACTGTCACTGCTCTGAGTACTTCATAGGTGAACACTTACCAGAGCAGAACAAAGGTTCCTAATGCCAAGGCTCCGGATGGAGGCTGAAAATACCAGTAAATAGCAATAAGTATATGTGTATACATTGAAACATAGATCGACAGCAGGACAGACAAATAGATACAGTTTTCTACAGTGACGTACAGATAAGAAACGTAAGACATGCTGGACCACACTCTGAACATAAGGAAATTATACTGTAGTGTAGATACACAACTTTTTCTTGTAAGAGATAGATGAATATTAATGCTGCTACAAAGGCTAGTAATGTGTACACAACAGTCAACAGCAAATATTTATTGATTTTATTTTATTTAAGGCAAAGTTAGTTTTCTAACTTATATTTCTTTTATAAAAATAATTGTAATTATATATTCATAAACTTAACTCTTTTTTTTCTTTTCTCAATATAAATGTATTGTTTATTTACTTCCTTGTAATGAGATACAAAAAAAAACTGCATTTTAGTTTTAAGAGACAAGCATAAATATTAAAAAGGTAAAAGTAAACTACTGAGTTCTGTTTTGTATCTCTTAATGCTTGAAATATTGTTTTTCACTAATCCTCCCTCCCACTTTTCATTTATTTTATTCTGAAATAATTCTGAAATTATACTTTACTTAAACAGTTTTTTTGTTGTTGTTGTTTAGAGATTATACTTTTTTCATCACTTTATATTTTTTTTGAGATAGCATTTCTTGAATATTTATATATCTTTTGCCTGAACTCTTAATATGCCTTCATATTATGAATACTTCACAAGCATAGTTTTTAGGTGGACAATCAAATAAAAGCAAACCTAAACCATTAAATTAAATTCACAATTAGATATATATATATATATATTTTGTTCTTGAGACACAAGTAATGACGTTTACCACAGCCTTGGTCTAGTATTAAAACTAAGAATAAACTTTATTATCAATAAATTATCACCAAGAGCTCTAGCATCATAAAATCAATAGCAAAATAATATGATATTTCAGGATTAAAGTTGTAAACATGAGTGAATACTCCTCATAAGTTTAATAAACAATGTAATGTGTGTTAAGGTTACTAACAAACCACCAAGAATGATAAGCAGCAAGTATTACATATTTCCATACTGTTATGATGTATTCTGTTTGTGCTTTTAAAACAATAAAATTTGGGTTGAAAAAAGGAATGATTGTGAAGATAAGATCACGTCAATACTATTCAAGAAAGGGAACATACATATAAATAAATATAAATTAAGGACAACATGGGACCTGTTGACCCATCTAAACCATCTCACTCACTATACTAGATTTTTAAAATGAAAATAAAATACACAAACCCAACCCTTATCATTCATGTATGTATCATGCCTTCCCATAAACATCCTTAAATTAACTGGATCTACAACATCTGAAGGCAACCCATTCCAAAGGCCAACCACCTTGTTAGAAAATTAAAGCTGTCTTAGCTGAAGACAACTTCTACCCTGCCTAAATTTGTGTTCCCTAGTCCTACCATTCTCAACAATAAGTATGAAAAGCAAGAGTACATCAACACAATCAATTCCCTTAACTATTTTAAACACTACAATCAAATCCCCTCTAACTCTTCTTTTTTTTCCAAGAAAAATCAGTTTCAGAGATCTTATCTTATCCTCATATGATAACCTTTCCATCCCAGCTATCATCTTAGTAGTCCTCCCTTGAACCCGTTCAAACAATTCAATGTTTTTCCTGAGGAAAAGCATCTATGACTGAACACAGTAGTCCAAATGTGGCCCAACCAATGACCTATACAATGAAACTATACTCTCTTCACACTTATATTTAATATTTCTGTCAATACAACTCAAAATCATGTTAGCCTTGCTACAAGCAACAGCATATTGCTTGGATGGCTTAAGAGACTGATCAACTAGAACACCAAGATCCTTTTCTTCGATAACACTGTCAAGGTTATTCAAATCAAAAGCATACTCATAATTCAAATATGACATCCCTCATGCATTACCTTGCATTTATTATAATTAAAAGCCATCTGTTGTTTATTTACCTAACCCATTAATTACTCCAAATCATTTTGTAAAGCAGCAGAATTTTCCTTAATATCATCAGCAAATTTAAGTAATTTATTGGTCATTCCTTCATCTACGTCATTGCCGTAAATAAAAAAGATCCCTGAGGTACATCATTTATGACATTAATCCAATTTGATGGAACTCTATTCATGACAATCCTCTGCTCTCTTCCATCCAGCCAGTTTCTTATCCAATGAGTCAACCTATCACCTACAACTACAGAGATAATCTTTTAACAAGTCTTTTATATGGCACTTTGTCAAATGCTTTTGAAAATCCAGACACACCAAACTCAAACTCATAACATCATCTACATACCAGAAACCTCTTCAAAGAATAGTAAGGCAAGATTTTCCCATGGTGAAACCATACTGACTATCCAAAAAAATTTGAAACTTTGTTAATGGACTTTAAAAGACATCTTTTATCAGGCTTTCAAAAACTTTTCCCTCCACTGATGAAACAATTTTTATCACCTCCCTTGGAAAGAGGAGTAACATTAGCCAACTTCCAATCTTCTGGCACTTGTTCACTATTCCAAAACTTAAAGAAAATAGTAGCAAGTAGCTCGCATATCCAATCTTTAATCTCCTTCAAAACCCTTGAGTAAATAATGTCAGGCTTAGGAGCTTCATCATTCTTTAAACTTCCCATTTGTTTCTTAACAAGTTCAGAATTAAGGTGGTCATCTTGTTTGATCGTTTTTCGATCTAGCAACTGTTCATTCGAGAAGAACATACAGGCTCCGTTAAATTGGTTTGTTTACATTAATTGTATTTCTTAAAATATGAACAAATAAATATGTCTTCTTAAAGTATTTGGTTCTAACATTGATAATATGTGATTTTGAACATTCTCTTAAACATAACCTTAGACATAAAAAACTGGGTGACCAAAACATACATATAACCAACAGAATTTGGAGAATCTATTCAGAGTGAATAAAGTAAGTAACTCCTACACATGGACAAAAAAAAGGATAATTCAAACACACAAGAAATTATAAAATTGATGCAAATGGAAAAGAAACTGGATGGGTAATACAGATACATAATAAAAAGCAGGATAACTAATGTGCATCGAACATAAAATGGATGAGTAATACAGATACATAGTTAAAAGCTAGATAACTGATTTACATGGAACATAAAATGGATGGGTAATACAGATACATAGTTAAAAGCATAATAACTTATGTACATGGAACATGAACTGGATGGGTAACACAGATACATAGTTAAAAGGTAGATAACTGATGCAAATGGAACATAAATTGGATGGGTAATACAGATACACAGCTAAAAACTAGATAACTGATGCACATGATGTAGAAATTGGATGGATAATACAGATACACAGCTAAAACTAGATAACTGATGCACATGATGTAGAAACTGGATGGATAATACAGATACACAGCTAAAAACTAGATAACTGATGCACATGATGTAGAAACTGGATGGATAATACAGATACACAGCTAAAAACTAGATAACTGATGCACATGATGTAGAAACTGGATGGATAATACAGATACACAGCTGATAACTGATGCACATGATGTAGAAACTGGATGGATAATACAGATACACAGCTGATAACTGATGCACATGATGTAGAAACTGGATGGGTAATACAGATACACAGCTAAAACTAGATAACTGACACACATGATGTAGAAACTGGATGAGATTTATATATACAAAACAGCAACTAGAAGGGATGTAAATGAAGGGATAGAAATCCATATTGAAATTTTTATATAGTCTAACGCAAGAAACTAGTTTGGCATTTTATTATTACATTGGTTTGGAATGTTAATATCTCAAAAGATGAAATATTTCATATATCAATTATAAATTATATGTAAATTGAAATGTTCAGTGTTTGTTCTCTACTTATCAAAGTGTACAGCTTGTAAACATATGAATATCCAATTTATTGAGTTTGGCTTTATAAATACATATCAAGTTATGAATACTATGTAGTAGACTTAGGAAGCATTGTATCTCCACCTGTTATTTTCTACTAAGACCAGCCAAATGTTAAATAAATCTGACTGAAGTTGTGTTGCAACACCAGCCACGTATTAGGTGTACCTGGTAACTGAAAATGTTAAATAAATCTGACTGAAGTTGTGTTGCAACACCAGCCAAGTGTTAGGTGTACCTGGTAACTGACAATGTTAAATAAATCTGATTAAAGTTGTATTGCAACACCAGCCAAGTGTTAGGTGTACCTGGTAACTGACAATGTTCAATAAATCTGACTGAAGTTGTGTTGCAACACCAGCCAAGTGTTAGGTGTACCTGGTAACTGACAATGTTAAATAAATCTGACTGAAGTTGTGTTGCAACACCAGCCAAGTGTTAGGTGTATCTGGTAACTGACAATGTTAAATAAATCTGACTGAAGTTGTGTTGCAACACCAGCCAAGTGATAGGTGTACCTGGTAACTGACAATGTTAAATAAATCTGATTAAAGTTGTGTTGCAACGCCAGCCAAGTGTTAGATGTACCCGGTAACTGACAATGTTAAATAAATCTGATTAAAGTTGTGTTGCAACACCAGCCAAGTGTTAGATGTACCTGGTAACTGACAATGTTCAATAAATCTGACTGAAGTTGTGTTGCAACACAAGCCAAGTGTTAGGTGTACCTGGTAACTGACAATATTAAATAAATCTGATTAAAGTTGTGTTGCAACACCAGCCAAGTGTTAGGTGTACCTGGTAACTGAAAATTTTAAATAAATCTTTTATTACTTATGAAGACTTTGTACAGTTATTTATAGAAATACACAATGTTATTCATGAATAATGTTGAAATATGAATTAAAATGTTTTTCTTTATTAGTTAACATACCTGTAGCAAACCTAGTGTCTGTACCACTTTTGACATACAAGGGTTACCATTTTCTTTGTTAGAGTCGATCCTCTAAGTGATTTGGAGTAACCTCCACAAACTTGTTTCGAATGGGAAGTTCATCTATCTGGCAGTGATGGCGTTGATGTAAAGGACCTTCAGAAGGTTAGATAAAAGATTTAAACAATTGATCTCAGAGAAACTGATTATCTTAAATATTGTATAATCAAATGAACCTCGAAACACATACAACATTTCTAAAAGAAAAAAAATGCTTAAACTAACAGCAAATGCAGAAGAAACACATAAAACCTGATAAACAAACCATTAATTACAATTTTTAGAATATTAAAGTAAGTGCAACAAAAAAAAAATTAACAAAATATTGTTAAGCTTTATTTGAAAGTCTTGAGGGTAGAATTTATAAATTATAAGAGATATTATATCCTTTATCAAAAATAGATTTTGAGGTTGGGAATAAAGAGACATTAAAAACTTACATATTAGTTTTATTATAATAAGTACATCATTCATCTTTCCAGTAACTGGCACACACTGACTATAATGATATTTTCCATCCAGTACTTTACCACTACACTGTAATCAACTACTAAAAGCAACTTGTATGTGTTGAGTGCTTTAATTGTAACTAATTAACAAAAATAATTAAATAAATACAGGGAAAAAAGTTTACACTATACTGGTACTGTCATTCACCAGTTACTAAAAATTAAGATTTAACAATAACCTTGTACAGAACAAAGATTAAGAGCAAACTATGAGCTGACTTTACCAATGATTAATGATGATAATATTAGGCAAAGGGAAATCAGTACAACAGTAGCCATATGCACGTACTTACATTGAAGTCTCATTCTCAAACTTTTCCCTCTATGTGCATTATTTTGTTAAAATGAAGGACAAAATTTCTATTTATTTTTATAAGAGGAATGTCTTCGTTCTTTGTCTCTTGAATTCGAGCATTGTTTCAAACAGTTAGGCAGTTACTGTCACGTTAACACAAACTTAATAGCATTGTCTGTGATTTCATACATTCTGAAAGTGGTTTGCTGTTAGATTTCCTTCACTACAATCAGTTATTTAGGTAAATGATAAGTCCGTATTTCACATGATTGGAGAAATCTTTCTTTCCAATTCTGTTAGAATAAAATAACATAATGATTATGTAACAATATGCTCACTTACACGATTCAACAGGCTTGTCTTCAAATATGAATTCACCTGACTGTATAGACTTCCGTGGGATGTTCATACCGTTAATATTGATCACGTCTTCTCTCCTGAATAGAGAAGCAATTTCTTCAAAGGTTTTATTTTTGGTTTCAGGAACCTTTTTGTAGGTGAAGGTCCAGAAAATTGCCAACAGTGCCGTAAAAGGGAGAAATGTGTAGTTTTCAAAACCACGCTGCAATATAAAAAGACGTGAAAATTTAAAAAGAAAATACTCAAATAATTCACATACATACGCATGTCAACTGTTAGGATTAGGAGTTCAATTATAAAATTAAACATTAGAAAAGAAAAAAGAGAGAGCTCAGGAATATCAAAAAATAGAGTTGTCAAAGTGCTGTCTTTGAGTATTTTCTTTTTTAAATCTGAAGGTCATAAACACACATAATGTTAGACGTTCTACCAAACCAACTTTCAAATTAAGGCCAAGTTTTTAAACCTGGGAAAGAAAACGTTTAAGTAAGCACAGATAAACTTATTTTTTTTACTTTAATTTATTTAAAATAAATATAACACATATTAAACCCATTCAACTGAAATTACTGCATTTTTTGAATTAATAAATGTAAATATTTCTTGAATTTCATGTTCCTTTATGATGTTACTTGTAAAAAAACAAAATGGCATAACATTTTTTTATTCATTCTATGCATTAATTACACCTAAAGTACCAGAAAATTACAAAATTTAGAGAAATGGGTTTGAGTTCAAGAAAGAGACATTAAAGTTCAAGATCAAATAGAAAATATAAAGAAAAATGTTATCATCTACCAGCATCATTGGAAAGACCAAACCAACAACAAAGTTGGCAAACCAGTTAACTAGTACTGCTAAACTTATGGCTGCAGGCCGGGGAGCTTGGGAAAATAACTCTGCAGTAATCATCCAAGGAATTGAGCCTATAAGGAAAGAAAAGCATTGGTTAATAAGGGAAATACAACCTTTTAAATATTGAGAGATTAAGGTATTAGAAAGAATATAAACAATATTTGTTAATGTTAACTCTTTCCAATTAAATGTTCATAATAACAACTTTATAAAAAAAAGTTTTTTGTTTTGTTGAATTTTTGCACAAAATTACTCCAGGGTTATCTGTATAGAAAAAGATAACACTGAAAATTAAGCAAAAATCTATAGCATTACTTATGAAAATACGCCTACATCTAGTGATGAGCAATTAACTCATTCTGATTACCTGTAAACATAGATTACATCAATTAGTGTCTTGTAAGATAATCAACAAATCAAAATTATGACTGCTTTTTATTATTCCAACTGATTGAAATGTTGCCCACTGGTATTTTTGATTAATTCAAGGTTGTTCAGCTTAATTGATTAGTGTCTCTACTCACAAAAATAATCAACTAATCAAAATTAGTGTTTCTGAACATTAAGATTTTTGATTATTCCAATTATCCTAGTCTCATGTGAGAATAATTGATGAGGTGAATGTAATCAATTAATGAGCCCGAGGATTCATCGATTAACAAATTTCCCTAACCGTTCAGCTCTACCACTGCAGGGGAAGTTTTCACTATGTAATGAAGTAGCACTGACCTTAGAGCTTTAATGGACTTATATTTTTCTGTTTCAAACAAACAAATGTTTCTAAAACTCTTTCGGCCCGGCATGGCCAGGTGATTAGGGCGCTCGACTCACAATGTGCGGGTCACGGGTTCGAATCCTTGTCACACCAAACATGCCCACCCTTTCAGCCTTGGGGGCATTATAATATGACAGTCAATCCCACTATTCATTGGTAAAAGAGTAGCCCAAGAATTGGCGGTGGGTGGTGATGACTAGCTGTCTTCCTTCTAGTCTTACACTGCTAAATTAGGGACGGCTAGCGCAGATAGCCCTCGTGTAGCTTTGCGCAAAATCTATAACAAACAAACTAAAACTTATTCAGCATGTATAAACTATGGAAGTGGAAGTAGTATAGATTTTTCTATTTACTTTACTTGCCTGGTAGCTCATCACAGCTAATAATATTTTTACTTTTGTGGAACCTAAAAAAAGCAACCACAGAAAGAATACTTAAAGAAGCAGTGGTGTTTGTCTTACATACAGAATAGATTAAGTAAAGTCAACATTTTAAACCTCAACTTTCAAGCAATTAATATGAGAGCACAATCAATTTAGAACACATTTATAACTATTATACACCTTAAACATTATTAAATAGCCCCTCCACCCAAAAAAACGATATGCAAATCAGCAAGTCACACAACAACCTTTGCTGACAAAAAGTCATGGGGGAATAGAATATATCGGAACTATATTTTGTAGGTAGTATGATGCCACTTAAAATTTATCGTTTTGTAATGCTCTTTTCTGATGCAAAATATTCATACACTAAGATCATAAAGACGTGTTCAGATCAGGGATTTAGTACGTCCAGGTTGAAAATCTTCCTTGTTCTTAATGGCATTGGAAAACAAAGGAATATGGATTAAATTTTTGGCACCAGGACCATCTAGAAAGAGATCTGCAACAAGTAATACCCCCAACCATAGTAAACAAAGTGCAGCATTTTGTAGCAGGTGAGAATCCATGAAAATAAAGATCAGTGGCAAAAGTCATCCATGTTTCTCAGACAAAAGTATACAATGTAATCAAGAAGAATCTCCATCAACAAAAAGAGACAAGTCTTTTCCATGACATAGACATCAAACTTTCACATATGTATTTGGAAAATGAAAGAGGTGTGTTATTCCACAGAAAGACATACTGGTAAAATCACACTTATAGATTTTTGTGTGATCAGACTGTTGAAACGGGTGCTGAGAAACCACTGTCTTCATACACTAGAGATCTTATGAAAAGCATACAAGGAGGAGGGTGTGCTTTGGACTTGACAGCCTTAAGATGTTGTTGTGGAAAATATAGTACACGGATGCGTGAGGCTCCAAAATTATTTTAATACAAAGTATGTATACGTGCGAGATTAAATCTGATAGATGGCAGTATATTCCTACTGCTGTGTTGGTTTTAAATCTGAGAATACCTCTCTTACTAGAATAATTTTATTATTCCCACTTTGTATTTTGTATCATAGCTCTGGTTGTCTGTTTAATTATGTGTGACTCTTTTTGTTATTAGCCTTGTTGTTTCACAAAGTGTTTATTTTTACAACATTTGTTAAATTTGTAGAAACTTTTTTTTTTCCTAGCAGTAATTTATAACCTAAACATTTTACGCTTTATTATACTGTTCATGTAAGTCTTGTACCATCATGGTGACTAGAATACCAACTTCAAGAGACAAAGTTTTTACTCACCACCTCCAGTGGTCTAGTTGTAGTAACCATATTATTTTGATAATTTTGTTTCATTACAAGTAGCTACATCATCACAACTGGCTGTAGACAGTGAATGGTAGCTTTATATTTGGGATGTGAAATCCTGTACTCATATTTGTTCTTAATATTTAGTTTTCTTTCCATATATGAGACTTTGGAGTAGAGGTCAAATCTGATGGATGGTATATTCTTACCACTACACGAGTCCTACTTCGATATATAACTCTCTCACTAGGGTACATTTTACCCTTTCTGTACTCTAGCTTTACTTTATGTTTTGGTCTTGTTGTCTGAAGAACTGTATCAAAGTGTTATTTAAAATAAAGTTTGTTTGTTTTTAATTATG